CAGTGGGAGTTTCCCCCCAAAGAGGGACAAAGGACCCCCTGATGATCCTCTAATTACGTGAGCCAATTATTTGCTTGGAGACTATCCTTTATTTGTCCCTTTTTGGGGGGACAAATAGAGGTTCGTCTTCAAGCAACTTAAACAAGTCCAGACGCTTTTCTTTCCAAGCTCCTTAGACTACGATGACCTGGATGACTGAGAACCTTCACAGACATACAAGGTTAAATTAATCTTTTCAGTCATGACATACAATTTACACAGTGTGAGTAAAAACACATTTACCTTGATGTTTCCTGGTTGGGGATCTGGAGTTAAATTGAAAATATAAAAGTGTGTTTAGCTTATTTTTACCAACCATAGAAATTATCTTTTAAAAGCAACTTTACCTGTCTGAGGTGTTTTGATTTTTAAAACCAGAATGATGACCAGTATAATGAGTAAACCAGTCAGACCACCTGGGATGACGTTAATTGGGTGTATCATTCTATCAGACTCTGCAAAAAAAATGACACTGAAACATTTCAGGCTGTGTACTTCAGGTATAATACTGACAATAGTGAAATAACTATGATCCCAATAAAAAACAAATTTTTTAGAGACAGGAAAATAATCTTACCTTCAGTCTTAAATTCTTCATCATTCGTTTCACCACCTGTAAAGAAACATGGGTATTATAATACTTTGTGACTTCCAGTTCTTATTTAAAGTCTCATCATGTTGTTCTGCTACTAAGGAAAGCTTACCTTCAAATCTTAACTCTACTGCATTGGAAATAATAATATGCACATCCACGTAAAATCCACAGAAATACAGCCCAACATCAGATAAACCCACTTCTGTCATTTTAAGAAAGACAGAAGTGACATTGGAACTCATATTGAATTTTCCATTTTGAAATCCATCACAGAAAGAGGCTTGGCCATGAGACCCAAACATAGAGGAGATGCAGCTTGTTTTAGTCGTGTTGATCACTCTGAACCACTCTGTGTGGGTTGGACTTATGGAAATGTTGGAGCACTGCAGTGTGACGTCTTCGCCAGGCTGGACCGTCACAGTGTGAACCTCAGAGCCAGAGATAAAGATCCATCCTGAATCAAACAACAAAGACAAAATGAGATTCAACTCAAAGTGTACGGTACAACAGACCCAATAACAGGGCGACAACTTTTTATTCAATTTAATTACATCACTGCTTTCTAACAATCACATTTAAATTTTGTTGGGCTCCTCGTTCCATTACTTATTTTAAGGTGAGAGTAGTAATATGCCAGTACTTACTGAGGCTGCAGAAAATCAAAGCTGTTATCAAGACGAAGCTCCTCATCGTGTGTTTAATCCTTCACTGCTCGGACAGTTAGTGAACCGTGCAGCTTTTATAAAGGGGTTTAGAGGGGCGGGGTGATTTTTTTTTTTTCCATCTTGCCAATGACCTGCCAAAGCAATGCAATTCATTTGTAGATATTTTTGGCAGTTATCCAAGGATGCCATTTAGATTTGTTAATAGAGATGAGATAAGGAAGTAACTTTATATCCTAAAGTTGTAAAATTGTTTAAAGTCTTACTGTTTTCTTGTTGATTCTTGTGCTCATTCATGACATGACACCATCTAACATTTTTAGATTTCTGAATGAAATTCAGCTTCTTTTTCAGACTTTTTAAACTGCTTTTCTGATTACATGTAAAGCTGGAGTGGAAACTTGAGTTATAGTTACATTTACTTGTTTATATAACAACAAACAGCAATAGATACGTTTTTGATCTTTCTATTTAAT